TGGAAGACAGTAATATATCAACATAGTAAATAACATGGACAACCTGTTTATATACTCATCTGCCTGGTCAAAAGACAACGCAGACCTAGTACAACACATGATCGAATACCTACATCTGAGAGATCACTGTGTCCCCCAATAGGGGGGAACGTACTTTCGAAAAAAAAATTGTAGGGTTGGGAAAAGTTATTCCCGGTTGTTAACGTTTCACGTTCCTCTCCTCCCCCCCCCCCCTCCGGCAGCAACGATTCCGATAACTGGAAAGAGTTGTGGGAAAATCTAGGAAATGCTAAGGTGGTAAATAAGATGGGGATGTGGGGGGGGGGGGGTCGTATTTTCTTCGCAGCTGTTCAGGTCTTTTCAGGTCGCGCTGTATACACTATACACCCCTTCCAGCTCGACAGCTCGATTGAACCAGAGGAGGGAACTAAAGAGGGAAGGGTCGCATCAAGCCACCTCTTACAGTTAGGAAGGGATCGTACGGACTCAACTGAAATCTCCAACTCATGATATGCCCTGAAATGAAATTAATATGAACTCATGATATGGAAATGCTCCTCACCCCTTCTCACCATTTCCCTGAAAGCTGCCAGGAGAGTTGAAGCTTTTGAAATTTTTCGTGACGAAAACAGCTTACCTTGTAAAAATCCCTCATAATGCCAAACGATTTCTCTTCCCAATATCCCTGTTGCGAGTATTGAACGGCCACCAGAAGAGAGAACAAAAAAGCTACCATATTGGGCATGAATCAATCAAGAAATATGTAGTTGTCTGAAAGGAGCAGTAACGTAGCTCGCCTTCTGCCAGTAACGAAGACTGAACATGAAATGTTGGCCATTACAAGAGCTGGAAAGAGGGCATTCAAAAGTTCAATGCATGCAAGAGATACTGCTAGATGGAATAAGACCGTTTTTATTCTATTGAGACCAGCATTTTCTTTTCCCGGCCTATAATGGAAAGCAGAGAGCTCGTTCCTTCAATGCCACTTATTATTCCGCGATCGTGTCATTTAATTCCTACGCTTTGATAGGCAGTGGTACCACTGATCTCACTTTCCCCTTCCCTGTATACGTTTATATGTGGAGAAGACCATAGAAAAGTGTTTGTTCTTTGATCCCTTACGATGAGGTGCAGCCTCTGGGGGGGGGGGTCAAACAAAAGGCTGAAACTCCAAAATTCAGCCCAAAATAAGAAACGTTCGGATAAGCCCGTGGTGGCGGTGCCAGTTCGGGTAGGGGCTAGAGTATCGGCTCTATCATCTCTCTAGGGTAAAAGGCTCCCATCAGCTGAGGTTAAGCTTTTCTTGACTTTGTATTACCCTTCTGCTGACCCCGCCTCTCGCAAAACCTCTCTTGGTTCGAGGGATACTCGTACCAGCACAACGGGGGCCTGCTCTCTCTCAAAATGATTCGTCTGGAAACTGCCTTCAAGCAACACCCCTACGGAGTACTTGTTCCCTGACAACCATGTGAATTTCCTTTAGGAATTCACAGCTGTTTCAGTAACTATCATTCGGTAAGGAGTTCGCAGGCGAACCAAAGCTCACTTCCATCAGTGATCCATATCTCAGTATCTTGATATGACAGCTGCAGTTTAACTTCGCAGTTTGCGCTCTCGAGTTATCACAATGTCAAATATAGCACGCAACCACGCCCATCCCATCTCCGGGATAAAGAGTGTGCAGTGAGAGAGAATTCACTGACCTTGGGTGCAGAGCCTTGCCTCCCTATTATGGGTTTCTTAGTGCGACCGACCTTCAGTTACAAGTAGGTAATGACGAGCTATGCGCCAAGGAACTGGATAAATTGACAGCTTGGCTTGGCACTCACAACCTGTGTACAATAGATGCTCAAACCAAACACGAGATATTAGCAAAGATTTATGACTGGTATGGAAAAGAAAAATTGTGGTCGGTAATGTTTCGCTTTTCTTTCCGCCTGGAACACATTTACGTGTCTTTTCTCCGAAATACTGGTCAGCATTTTCTCCCTAGGTCGTCCTGCTATGGCTGCGATCCACACAGTTGGCCTACTCGCGTTGGTACATGGCCTTGTTGTACTGCAGCAGAACTAATCCCTGGCAACGATCACTACCGCTGAGCCGAGAGACCAGTACATACAGGAAAGACCAAAAAAAGTCACTTTTCTTCGCTTGACTTCCGAGGCGCTATAAGTTACACTTTATCAAATTCTGATCGGACATTTCTACCACCATATTAAAGAGCATATTAAATACTATCATGATACTCCGCCACAGCCTTCTGGAGGAGCGCCATCGAGAGATTCTGCCACGCACCATGGTTCGGTTGAGTTCAGCGATACCGTTGATTTCTCCGCCACTGTAGACCACCCTGTTGAGCTCAGCCCGAACCGGATAATTGAGAGAGTTTGGGTAGGGTGACCAACTTAGGTATTACATCTTCTTTAGGTACTCAGCCCCCTTCTATTTCAAGTAGGAGAGAGTTTCTCCAATGCCCTTAGATTCCGTGTGGTGTAACCAGTCCTGTAGCAGTACAAAGTTTCCAAGAAGGTACGGGTGACAACATGTAGCGAGGTTATTCTTCTCGCGCACGCGGTTGCCTTAATGGTAGGCGCAGCCTCACCTTTCAGTCCGGGTTCACGAAGAAATAGTGTGGCTCTTATCCCATTCAGGTACGTCTGCGCTCCAAACCATCACGGCGCTGCCTTGGCCGATGTCGGTCGAGATGATGTTCCAAAAGACCGCTAGCGGAGCTGCCGTGTTGAGCCTGCTCGATGTGTGGAGGTCTTCTAGAATCGACGAGTTGCTGGTCTCCGGTAGCTATCCATAGTTGACTCTCCATACTAAAAAGTTTCGCAGCAGTTTAGAGGTGACATAAACTCCAAAGGTCTTCTCCAGTCAGGCTGCGACTGGAGATGACTTCATATTTTGGTGTACATGAAGGTGATGGGCGAGAGCCAGCTCCTGCTTATCGAGGAACATCTTGGGTATCTTCCGCCCTGGTACTCGTATCCACGTCCTCTGTCTGGGCTGCAAAAACTTTGCTGATATGTGACTCGGTCGAAATGACTTTTTTTGGCCCCCTTGTACATTGGAAAGTGTGAAGCGCAGGTTCAGGGTACCTTCAGAGGCGAGCAGGGTCAGTCTCGCCATGGGGGATGTCTCGCAAAAAAACCGCTTTTCAAACCTTCTCTCCTCTCAAGCCCCCTACCCGTCCCCCTTCCCCAAGCTAATTATCACCTTTCTGAAATTCTCCATTTTCCTACCTTTTTTCCAAAGTTTTTGTTCCTTTAACAAATCCTCCACATTTTCCCTAGAAACTTTCGGAGAGGAATTGTATATATACAGCGCTGGAAACAGGAACGAGACAGGAAAAACTCGAGAAGGTTAACAGCCGGAAACTTTCCGTTCGTTAACAGCGAACAGGGTACACCTCCCATCAGAGACCAGATGGGACCAACAGCAGGAACGAACAGGCAAACAGCTCGAGAAAGACGTTAACAGCCCGGAAAGACTTCCGTCTTGAACAGCGAACAGGTACATCTCCCGTCCAGAGACCAGATGGGACCAACAGCGTACATGGCACTTTGGAGACAAGACATTTCTCGCGGTCAACTGTTCACATCCGCAAACTGCAGCGAGGAAAGAGATTCAAAGGAAGCACTGCTGTCCATCATCATCGTATAGGAGCTTCGAGTACTTCGGAGCAATACTTTGAACTATTACTGTAGCACATAACCAATTATTTTGAAAGTTCGAGGGAACAATCTCAATTGTTTTGGACTTCTTCAGGCCCTGACGAAGGCGAGGAAGCCGAAACGTTGGCCAATAAATCATAAATTATAAAAATCTTGGACGGCTAAAATTATCCACCTGCTTGAAAATATTTTAAAAGTATTCGTTGACCCCCGAAGATATGAAGCTATAAAATTTTTCTGCGCAATGTTTACTACGGACGGATGGCTTATAAGAAAAGAATGTCGCCGGTGGCGCCGTACTTCCCTGTTTCTCATACTGATTCAGCCATTAGCAAATAGTACGTTAAGTTTACACAAACGTTTGCCTACATTTGATACGTGCTACTTAGGCGCTTATCGGCAAACATTTCATGAAAAGTGCTCCGATTCCACAAAATATAACCCTCGTGATTAATCAAGTAAATAGATGACACTCTGTTTGCTTTGAGGTAGTCTAACTGAACTACGAAATTCCCGAAATTCCTACGCGAAGGTTAAAATAGTTTGCAGGAAGAGTCTATCACAGGAAACTCAATACTTTGACTTTTCTTGATAAAGCCGAAAAAACTCATTGGGTCTTTGACGATTGCCATTAACAACAAGAGGTATATTGGGATAGGCCATGCATTCGGGTCATTCAAATGTATTGCGGCTTTTGATGAGTGACTGGGCTGTGGAGCGACTAGTGAGTGTGTTGCTATCCCAAAGGCGATCCCTACTAGTAATTCACCATTTGCTATATGGTTGGCCTGGGGAAAGCGGACTCTCAGCACTTCCCCCCTTAAGCTTCATATCCTAGTGAAATGAAAAAATGTAAGAAGACTTCGATGCAATAACAACATGCTGTGCATAGAGAAGAGCGCTATGTTAATCCTTAAGACGAGTTCGGCTATCTAATGGCTAAATTTGGGTGCTGTTCGGCTTCAGTGAGGGGCATTTCACACACTTTCGCTGATCCCTTCTGCCTAGAAATGTTAACTAAGAAGTATCTCCTAGATGATAGTTGTGAATTCTTTTTTGAACCTGAGGAGCAGTGCAGGTGAGTTACAAGGTACTGAGCTCTTCATACAGCGTTGTACCTCATCAGGAAAACGCATGGTACCATGCAGAAGTTTCACCATTTAGCACGTGGTATGACAGATAATCTCAGCGGGGCGCCTTTTTGGCCTGGAAAAAATCTTTTCAAAGTTGGCGTTTCCTGCTTCACAGCGCTATCCACAACATTGATTGACTCCCATTTAGGGCGAAGGTCGTACTCACTGCTCGTTTCGAGTGGAGGGGGTCATGTTTGACCTTGGAAAAACTTTTTTGAGAGTGAAAAAATTTCTTCCTGTTTGCTGCTCTCCCAGTTCGGATGGCGCAGCCAAAGTGCTCATTAAAACTTCCATGTCCGATAGCTAAATCTCAACTGTTGGGTGCGGTGCGACCTTCCTCTAGTTGAGGTTCGGTTTTCGGGGATCTTGGAGACTTTTCGTAGAAACTGGAAATTTGGTTAAGAGGTTGGGAAACATCATTTAAAATGTTAATGTACATAGGATGAGCACAGGCAGTGGCACCGGAGGTAGGAATTATGGACAGAGAGAGAAAGTCGTACTTTGCCAAAAAACTTCCAGGAAGCGGATGGCTAGCTTGCCGAGCCGCGAGAAGTGTAAGGAAATATGTGAAATTCCCATAGGGAACTTGCTTCAATTACGATGACTAAGCACCACGCCAAAGCTTCTCGCAGTTCACTGCTTAAATGCGCTCGGTATAGATGAAGCACCAATGATCATACTAGTCAAAGTGACCTATCTGGACGATTTCCCTCAAGGCTTGCTAGATTGACTCAGCACCCTCACTCCAACTCCAAAGGGTGTGAGAGAGGTTTCCATTTATAACAAACAACTCTTCTTTTCTTTTCTCTCTTTTCTTCAATCAATGTGAGCTAGATAGAATTGGACCGTCTGCATGTCGCTCCATTGAACTTGAACCTATGGCGCGTCGTTCAAAGCAGTTGGTTCACTCGAATGGAAGCACGGTCAAGCTCACA